TAAAAACCCTATAAAAATATATAAACATATATGCACACATACACATACATATATATATATATATATATATATTATATATATTTTTTCATAAATATTATGCAACAATTGAGCACATTGAAATAATTATGATAATAATTATCAGAGCTCTAAAGACAAAGGCAAAAAAGTTTCGCTGCACTTGGCAAATAATTCTGGTGATATTTTTGCTGTTGGGGCAGCAGTGTTAGCCTTGGCTGAGAAAAACAGCTTAATTGATCGTTAAAGAAGTGCAAGGGGGCTGGGGGCAACGGTACTCAATATGAGTTTTGAAAAATTGACTGAATGCAAAGCGCAGTCAAGCTTCAACGCACGCGATTGCCTGGGCAAGGTTTTCCAAGCATTTATCAAAGAGTTTTTTGCTTTGTTTACTTTATACAGATATATGTTAGATATATATATATATATATGTATATATATATATGTGCGCTGCATTTCCGATTCTAGCTGCAGATGTTGCAACCTCTGGCAGGTAGTTAGTGGTGGGGGGCAGCTGTTGGAGACGTTGCCTCATCGACAACGTCGACGACGACGCGACGTTGCAATAAACCAGTCGCTGCTGCTGCTGCTCAGCTAATCTTGCAACACAGTTGCGCAACAAAGAATCCGACACAACGGTACTAACGTGTTTCAGTTGTTGCTAGCTGTTTGATCTGCTCTCTCGCTCGCTCGCTCGTTCTGTGATTTGTTCTTGGCCAGAATCGAAGCGAGTTCCACTTGCGTGTAACAGGTTTTTCCTCTTGAATAACTGGGACTTTCGTACGGGACTTTTTCTCGTCGTCGACGTCGTTGTTGTTGTTGTTGTTGTTGTTGTTGTTGGAGTCGCCTCCAAGTTCTTTTCTCTGCCACACGAGAAACAGGTTACAATCGCTCTAAGACCAACTGCAACTGCAAAAGAATCGGGGGAAAATACGAAAATAGTCAAGACGGAGCGTGGAGCAGGGGCAACTGGGGAGTTGGCAGCGATCATTACAACGGTGAGGCACACATTTCGGTTGGCAGAACCAACGGCGCTTCCAAGTTGCAAGCCGAAGCTCGTCTGAGCCAAATTGAAGGCTTACGGCCAGAACCAGTTAACGCTTGATAGACCTGATGCTGGCTTGCGCAAGATAAAGTCGTCGTGCCCCCCTCGCTGCCTCGTACCATAACACATAAATCTAACATGATTTGAGGCAACGGAAAAACATGAAATATTAAAGAAGCGCCCGATAATACGGCTAATGATGCGTCAAAGCTAATGCTCAACGCTTGCCCAGTTATAGGGCCCCATTTGCTCAGTTGCGTAACTGCTTCTGCTTCTGCTTGGACTTTAGCTGCTGCTTCTTCTTCTTCATCTTATTAACCCCATCTTAACGGAGCTCTCAGCTGCTGCCGCTGCTGTTGCCGTATCTCTCTAACTGTTCGTTCGCCTCAATCAGCACTTTTTTTTCTCAGATTCGCTTCACTTTTTTCTGCTTTTTGAATTGAATTATTTTGCGGTTTCGATAAGCATTCATAATTTTTATATTTCTCTTATTAATTTTGCTGTTTATTAAGCTCTTTACTTTGCTATAAATGTTGTGAAGCTTCCAATTGAATGGAATTCATTTTAAGCCCTAAATTGGAACCCATTGAAAATGGGAGTTCAACCACAACAGCTCGAGACTTGAAATGGAAAATAAATACTCGTTTATACCATATGCAGTACGAAGCTAACATTTTCAATAACTCAGCCCATTTTCTCTTTTATCGATAACAATCGATCAGTTGACTTAGTTTTTCAAGCATAACTTGAATATCGTAAAAGCTGCAGACTTCAGTTGCCACGTTTAGCTTTCTTTAACCAATTTAAAGATTTTATACATTTTTTATTTTGCTATAGTTATATAAATAATAGTAAATATAATAGAAAATATTAAGAATCATATATAATCTCCTCCAAGCTGCGCCCAGCTGAACTAGCCTCAGTGAGAATGTTTAAGCCTCACACTAACTTGATAAATATTTAATCAATAATAAATAAAATACGTAAATGTAATTTTAAAAAAATATTTCTTCAGTATATTTACATATTTTATTTATTATTATTATTTTTTTATTATATTAATTTAATCATTTAGTTTTGTTGAATTTATTTTAATACATATACGCTATATATTTTTTATTTATATTTTGTGTTCTATTTTCATATTTTATTTTTGATTTATTTTACTTATTTTTAGTTTTTTTATTAATATTATAAAAAATAAAAAAATAAATAATAAATAATATATAAACCATCGAATTAAATAAATAAATAAAAAATAAATAAAAGTAAAATAATTATATAATAATAATAAAATAATTATATAATAATAAATAAAAAATAAATAAAAGTAAAATAATAATAATATAATAATAATCATTATTATTATTATTTTACTTTTATTTATTTTTTATATATTTATTTACTTCGCTGGTTTATATATTATTTATTATTTTTTTATATTTTTATTTATATATATTTACACAATTCACATTTTTCTTTCAATTTTCGAAAATTTTACATAGGCTTTCAGCTCAGGAGCTCTTAAAGTTGTTAACAATTAATAATTCTTTTATTTTTCAGTATTTCACTAATTTTTCAATTTAATATGACTGCAAAAAAAAGCTAAAAGAAAAATTCAACTAAAATAAATGAAAATTTGCAAAAAATACTTAAATATTATATCTTAATTGTGGTTCTATATTTTGATTTATCACTATATAGAAATATATTTATTTGTTTATAAAAAAAATTGGCATATAAAAAATGCAAGAATATTTATTTAGCGAGCATCGCCTAGTCGAGCAAGCTCTCATGCACTCTACGCGCTCTCAAGTTCAAATTCAAATGAAGCGCGCAAAGCGCCGCAACATTTCCACCCCCAAAAAGTCCAACACAAATCAAAATTTCCCCAAAAGCAGCGAAATTCACCAGCGCAAGAATTTCCTCATGGAAATGGACGTGTGTGAGTGCGTGGAAGTGGAAAGCACGTTTGCTTAAGGGTAGGAAAAGCTGCGCAACAATGCCGCGCGCGCTTTTCCAGTTTTTCCTGGCTATGCACTTGGCATTATGCCTACTAACCCTATTTTGCAGCGCAGCGAGTCCCATTTTTGGCCTGCATATAAAGCACACACACGCGCACACACACAGATGTAGCTGTGTGTGAGTGTGTGTGTTGAAGCAGCCTGGCATTGCGATTTTTTCCCATTAGAAGTCCTTTTTCCAAGCAGCTGAGTGGCGAAACGGAAAGTGCGGCGCGAATTGTGTTTGTGGCGCACTTGAATTTGGGACACATTCCTGCAAAGGACGCATCTGAAAGGATATACGCGGCGACCACTCAAAACACAGCGAATTTTGTGGCAAAAATGCAATAAACAAATGAAAATTCCATAAAAAAAAATACAACAAAAAAACAAAAAACAAAAACTCGACAACTTGAAATTTGACGCTTTGAACTTGATGTGCGAAAAAGGTGCGTGAAACTGGTGTAAACAATGAAAAACCTGTGGAAAATCCAATGTTGCAAGTGCAGCAACAAATAGAAAATTTAAAGAAAATTCCATGAAAAATTAATTGGAAATTATATGAAAACGAAATTGAAAACGAATTAAAAGAAAATTAAATTAAAAGCGAAAGCGTTGCAATTGCGAGTGTGTGTGTGTGCCCCGTGTGTGTGTGTGTATCGATTTGCATGTGTGTGAGTGCTGAAAAATCGATTATTAAAGCCACAGCTGCTGTTTGTTGTAATCGGCAGGCGGGGTGGTTGGTGGTTGGCCATTGCAATGCTGGCAGCAGCAAGCGCTAGGGTTGCGTGCCGCTATGTGGAAATCTGGTAGCAGCAGCAGCAGCAGCAGCGACGTCGACAGCAGCAGCGACACACTTCCAGTTGCTCGTATTTTGACGTCAAATTCCAATGGCGCCTTGCAGCCATCCAGCGGCAGCAGCAGCAACAACAACAGCAGCAACAGCAGCAGCTCGTTGCATGTGCAGCGCCAGGATACGACAACAGCAGCAGCAACAACAGCAACAGCAACAACAATAGCAGCAGATACACACGGGCAACAGCAGCAGCACCAGCAGCAACACAGTAGTCCAGGTGCAGCTGGCGCAGCAGTTGCAGCAGGATAACTACAACTAATCAACATATTGTGACGTATAACAAAAATAGGAAATGCATTTGGGCAACGGCCCACAACAGCAGCAACAACAATACAACAAATGCGACTGATTTACTGTGCAAGAAAAACAAAAACAAAACCAAAAAAAAAAAACAAAATAAAAAAAAACAAAAAAATAAATTAAATTAAAATATATAAAGCAAAGTTTACAAACAACAAAAACAATTCAGAACAAAGCAAAGCACAAAAATTGAGTATACGACGCATATTCCAAGCTGCAGCAACAACAAACACACAGGTGTAGCTACACCCAAGTCAAACACACATATATATATACACATACATATAACAAAAAATGTAAATGTTTAATCATATTAATATAAATTGAAAGCAATTCAAAGTTAGATGTGTGACTTATATATTGTAAACGATTTTAAGTGCACTTTTTGTAAGGCTGATTTTTCTCAATTTATTTCGATGTTGTGCTTCTACACCAGATCCCAAAGAGAATCAAATATATAAAGTGAAACAAGTAAAGAGAAAAAAACAGTGTTGGTAAACGATATAAACCTTATATATATATATCTATATCTATATATGACTAAATATTCTAAAAACTACGCACAAAACTTACAATTCTAGTAAATACAATAAACAGCTGACGGCTAGAAAAAAACAGTGTTGCAAAATGCTAAAATATATATTTAAAAATTTAATTACAATAAATTAGACACAACTTCTACAATAGCACACAGCAATACATGATAATTACTTTAAACAAAGAACCCAGTGTTGGTAAATGCTAAAATAAGTGTTGAAAAACACGCTCAAGATAAACCATTCAACGGCAACTGTTGCTGGCGTGCAATATATACAAAAAGTCAGTGTTGGAAAATGCTCGAAAGTATTTGTACATAGAGTGCAGAGACAGGCGCACAACAGCAATTGTTGCTGGCTACATTACATCAGCAACAGTGTTAGAAACGGCCCTCACAACGGATAGGCCAAGAGATATCCTGCTGATACAGCAGGCGGCGCCCGTTGGCAGCACTCGTGCAACAGTTGCCACAACAACAGCAGCAGCAGCAGCAGCAGCTGCAACAACAACAACAGCTAGCTACCTAGATGCGAGCGCTGCCACAGCGGCAGCCGTCGCCAGTCTGCGCAGCAAAGTGCCCTCGATATCGATAATACCGCTGCCGGCTGCCACAACGATTGTGGCACGGCCAGCCGGCACGCCCACGTCCACGCCCACGCTGACGCCCACGCGCACTGTGAGCACATCCAATAAGGCCACATCGCCGCCGCTGGCCTTCCTAACGGATGTGGCAGCCACAGCAACCACTGCAACGGCAACGTATGTCCGACCGCAGCAGCAGCATCAATACCAGCAGACGGACAAGTGCACGGTGCTCAAGCTGGACGTGCTGCGCGGCCAGCGGGAGCCCGTGACCACCATACGCACGCTGGCCAGTGCAACGGCCAGTAACAACAGCAACAACGGCTCGGCAGCAAGCACAGCGACAACAGCAACAGCAACAACAACAACAACAACAACGTACCTGCAAATCGAACAGCAACTCAACGAGCTGGAAGCTGTTGACGAGGACGACGATGAGAACATGGCCAGCCTGCTCGAAAGCAGCAATGCACAAGGCAACAGCAGCAGCAACAACAGCAGCAACAGCAACAGCAACAGATGCCATTTACCGCCCGCTCAGATACTGTCCAGCCAGCCGATCATTGTGAAGATCGAGCCGACGCAAGCCTTTCACATTGTGGACGAGGGCGATACGCGCGTGTTGAGCCTGCCTTTGAGCGATGCCGACAAGCTGGGCGCCAGCTGGATAGATCTCAAGGACATAGCCGGATTGCAGGCGGGCGGCGGTGCGACATTGCTGGACGTGTGCTTTGAGGGCGAGGAGGGCGAGGAGGAGGAGGTGGGCACGATAATAGCAACAGCATCGCCCGAGGAGCAGCAGCAGCAGCAGCAGCTGGAGGAGACGCAGCTAGCAGAGCCGGCGCCTAAGCGCTTGGCGCTAGCAGCAACACAGCAGCAGCAGCAGCAGCAGCAACAGCAGCAGCAGCAGCAGAAATTCATGTCAGAGCCGCCAGCGTTGGCTCGTTCGAGCAGCTTTAGCAGTTTGAGCAGCTTTAGCAGTTTGAGCAACATTAGCAGCGTTTGCAAGCATATTGTCAGCAGCGAGACCAGCAGCAGCAGCAACAACAACAACAACAACAATAGCAACAACAATCGCAAATCAGCCACGCCCACTGACAGACTGAGGCTCAGAGAACGTACGCCACCTCCACTGCTGCCCACACAGAAGCCAGCCACAGCCACGGCCACAACAGCAGCAGCAGCAGCAGCAGCAACCACAGTGGCAGCAACAGCAACAGCAACGACAACAACATCCACCACAGCTGCAACTGCGGCGGCATCAACGCGTGAGCGAGATAGGGAGAGAGACAGAGACAGAGACAGCAGCAGCAATGGAGCTATGACAGGTCAGTTATCATATATATAAGTACAGTGAACACATATTAAAGTGAACCAGCTATGAATTATATGGATTGGCGGATGATTCAATAAATATATCATCCAAGCTAAGCGAGCTTTTAGGAACAGCATAATTATATTTTATATAAATTTATGGAGAAAGCAAATTTTAACTCTCTCAACATTTCTTGCTTTGGGAACTGGAAAATTTTGAGACATTTAAAAATAGACAAATTAATATTATAAAATATAATAAAATTACATAAATTATAAAGTATATAAAGCTCACCTTACACAAGATATTTGAGCTATTTAAAGCTTAACTTTTTATACTATATAAAGCTTTATGGAAGATGGAAAATATCAAAAACTAAAAAGATAATAATATATAAAATAATAAATACATAAATAATAAATAATTAATTAAAAATATATTTAATTTATGTATATATAAAATTATAAATATATAAATAATAAATAATTAATTATAATATATAAATAATAAATAATGAATTAAAAATATATTTATATAAATTATAAATATATAAATAATAAATAATGAATTAAAAATATATTTAACTTTATATATACATATATATAAAATTATAAATATATAAATAACAAATATTAATTTTACACAATATTTATTTTTAAATATATCTAAAATTATAAATATATAAATAATAAATAATTACTTACAAATATACTTTATTTATATACTTAATTCACAATAAATAATTATTATATGTATATATAATTATTATATGAAATATACCTTGCGTCGTGGATTATAATAAAGAGCATAAATAATATAAAATTCTATAAAAATAAATTAAAAATTACTAAAATATTTATAAATCAGATTTGCTTTGGGTTCTTTGTAGAATTTAAAGATATATATTTTCTACAAAGTATTACTATCTATAGCTTTAGCTTGTATAAAAATAATTTTCTTATGACATTCTACTCTCTCGATCTTCCAAGAAGAAATTTTTTGCAATTCCTCTTTGTGCCATATTCGCAAACGTTTGAGGCGCAGCCACATTTTGTTAAAAAACTATTTTTAAAGAATTCTTTGAAATTGTAGTTGAGGAAATATAAAAACTCTTGTAAATGTTTGTGCTACGTCGAGCTTAATACTATATAATATATAGATCTGTATGATATATCTATATGATGTGTATGATATATATATATATTATATTATATTCACCTTAACTTACATTGAACTCTTATTGGAATTTTTGAAAACTTCTTTGCTTTTAAAAGCTATTTGTGATATATTTAGGGTGGACCCATATTAAAGTGAAATATATATGAAACTGTATTCTATTTGAAAATTTCATTCTTCACGAATATAAATAAGAAATAAATAATTATTATGGTTTTATAGACTCCATTAAAGATTTAAATATTTATTTTAGTATAGAAAATACTAATATAATAAGATAGATACGAAGTTGAAATCTATTTAAAATTGAAATCTCTTTAAAATTTCTTGAAGTAGTATACATTAATATATTTAGAGTGGACCAATACTAGTATAGTCAATAGGATATTGAAGTACATTTGAATTCAAGTGAAACTTCTCTATAATTATTATTTTATTATATAAAAATCTTATTAATATTTTAAATATTAAAATGTCATATCATATATTTAGGGTGAACCTTTATTAGTATATTAATATGAAGTTGAAAAGTATATGAAGTTTCATTATTAAGAAAAACTTTTTAAAATATTAGTGCTTAAGAATATAGCTATATATATAGACAAGCTACATCTTATTTAGGGTGGACCTTATTATATAAGAATATGAAATCCATTTCAATTCTATTGAAAACATTTAAAAAATATCATTTTTAAAGATTAAGAATCTTTTTAATATTTTGACTAATAAAATCTCATATTTAGAGTGGACCTATATTTATATAGTAGTATAGCCAAAATGCTTAAACTCTTAGCAAATTTCTTCAGCATGCCTTGCCTTACCATAATGCAGAGCAACCTTGTGCGCCTGATAATTGAATTGTGCAGATAATTGACTTAGTGTGTGCGCTATAAAGGAGCAGAAAGGCCTAGCCATAATTGCGTTACTTAATGCCAAGGCTTTCGCTATAAAAAGATGCATCGCACCGCGGACTGTAATAGAATTAGCTATGATTTCTGTGCAGTACCTGCTAGCTGGTGCTTACTGTGCTGCACGAGTGGGTGAGTTGCATGCAGATGACAGGGGCATTGCGCAAGCCGCACAATTAACAGCACAACACATAGATGTCTTCTGACAGCAGCAGCAGCAGCAGTAACAGGTGTATGTGCGTGTGTTGCTGCTGCTGCTGCTCACACACCCCTGTGCTAAAGAATTTCAATTTACAAGCGTCGATTTATTGGCTATTCACCTCTTGTGGCAGCCACAGCGACAGCTACAGTCGCAGCCGCAGCCGCAGCTACAGCTCAACTGCGGCTGTGTCCCACTTTCCATAGACGACGACGACGACGACGACGACGACGACGACTGTCGGTTGCAGCAGTAAAAAAAATAGACAAACAAATAGAATACAACAAAAAAAAAAAAACATGTTTTGACATACTAAATAAGCCGCAAACTTGCTCGAGAGCGAGACGGAGCGAGAGAGCGCGCGCGGCAGGGGGCAGGCAGCTTTGGTGTTCTTTATCATTAGGTTCTGTTAGTTTGTGCGATTCTTGCTGCCTCGACACATTCGCTTTACGGCTCTTTGACTCACTTGCGGCACAAATGAGCCACACACACAAGCACCTGCCCCATTGCTCCACACACACACACACCTTGACTCGCCTCCGCTGCCACTGCTACAAGCTGCTTGGGCAGTCAAGTCACAGTTCTGTTCACTTGTGCATCACACACACACACACACACACACACACACACACACACACATACACACACACACACACACACACACACACACACACACACACACACACACACACACACACACACACACATAGACAACATTCTTGGCTCATAGTTTTTACCGTAGCACGAACCTTAGCGGTAAAAGCCGCAGCTACAAACTATACAGTTAGCTGAATGAAGTATCTAGATACAAACGCACACACACACACACACACACACACACACACATTGAGTCAGTCTCTAGATACATTCAGTTGATTACAATAGAATTGTGAGCCGCGCGCGATTCTTCACAATTTTAATGAGCTGTAGCTGCGGCAGGCGTCAGGCATTATATATATACAATATATATATATCTGATATATATATATATATATATACATAAAGACGCTGCTTTTGGCTAAGCTTCAAATTGATTTAGTTGCTCGAGGCGGCAGCAGTTGTCAGTTTTTTGTTGGTTTTCCATTTGTTTTTTGTTTCTTTTGATGGTGCTACAAATGAGTTGCGCCCCGAGCGCTTGAGGCGTGGCTTGTAACTGTCTCGAAAAAGGGCTTTTCATTCTTGGCGCGCAACAAAGATTGATCTACATTTTGACCGGAATCTGTGTTGATATCTATCGTAGCTCATTAGCCTTTAAACAGTTCGCTTATGTCATTCGATGGATGATTGATGAGCTGCTGCTGCTGCTGCTGCGGCTGCATTGTGCATGATCGTTAATCGTTGATCGATAACGAGTCTAACGGTGCTTGGCTCCACAGACCCAGCTAACCACACAAACTGTGGCCAGCAGAAGCTTAGCTAAAAATAAGCAATGAACTGAGACTTTTGATAAGCTTTAAGGATTTATTTTGTTAAGCCCAAGTTTTCTGTGTTTTCAGCTGCCTAAAGTGAAGTGAAGTGGCTCAACTTGCCAGTAAGTCGCTGTTAGCTACCTTAGCTTAGCATAAGCCTTCAGATTCCTTAACATTTATTTTTCGAAGAGTATAAATTCTGTTAAATATTTAACATTCCTCTCCAAGTTGCAGCTCAACCTCACAGAGCTGCCTAAAGTGAAGCTTCTCAGGTCAGAAACTCTGGCTCAACTTGCCAGTAAGTCGCTGTTAACTAGCTTAGCTTAACAAAAGCCAGATTCCTTAACATTTCTTTTAGAAGAGTATAAATTATGTTAAATATTTAACATTCCTCTCCAAGTTGCAGCTCAACCTCACAGAGCTGCCTAAAGTGAAGCTTCTCAGGTCAGAAACTCTGGCTCAACTTGCCAGTAAGTCGCTGTTAACTAGCTTAGCTTAACATAAGCCTTCAGATTCCTTAACATTTATTTTTCGAAGAGTATAAATTCTGTTAAATATTTAACATTCCTCTCCAAGTTGCAGCTCAAGCTAACAGAGCTGCCTAAAGTGAAGCTTCTCAGGTCAGAAACTCTGGCTCAACTTGCCAGTAAGTCGCTGTTAACTAGCTTAGCTTAACATAAGCCTTCAGATTCCTTAACATTTATTTTTCGAAGAGTATAAATTCTGTTAAATATTTAACATTCCTCTCCAAGTTGCAGCTCAACCTCACAGAGCTGCCTAAAGTGAAGCTTCTCAGGTCAGAAACTCTGGCTCAACTTGCCAGTAAGTCGCTGTTAACTAGCTTAGCTTAACATAAGCCAGATTCCTTAACATTTCTTTTTAGAAGAGTATAAATTATGTTAAATATTTAACATTCCTCTCCAAGTTGCAGCTCAACCTCACAGAGCTGCCTAAAGTGAAGCTTCTCAGGTCAGAAACTCTGGCTCAACTTGCCAAGTAAGTCGCTGTTAGCTACCTTAGCTTAACATTAACCCATAGATTCCTTAACATTTCTCTTTCTGAAAGCACAAATTCCATAATCTGCATGAATATGAAATGTAAATCAATTCGTTTCTCAAGCAGATGTATTTTACTGCCGTCTGGTCTCAAATGTAGCGCAGCAGACGCATTAATAATCATATTTAAGTTTTTTGCCAAAATGCAAATAGCAGCAGAAACAATAACAGCTAAATGAATTCATTAAATCTTTTGCACATATCATGCACATGGCTAACTAACTAACTAATCTGGTAGCAAAGGTGGCTTTGATGCGACCCTGAAGCTGGTTATTGGTATTAATGGAAAAAAGCCAAGCAGG